TAACAACTTCGTTAAATACCTTATAAATATTGTTTAAATTAAACAGCATACTCCTAGGAGGAGCACCGAAGTTAATAAAATTGTTAATACTACTAATAGAAGAGAAGGACGTATAATTACTACTCTCGTTATAAAATATAAGAAAAGTAATTGTGCAAAGCGGTCTTTTATCCTCTAAATAAAGAGTACCTGCCCTTATTTACTAAATAAAGGGAGCGAGATTGTAACTATAATTATTATAACTATAATTATCAATATTCGGGGTACTGGACTCGGCGGCTCGGCGAGCGAGGCGATTCCTACACGCGCGCAGACTAATAATCAATCGCGCAATAAAAGAAATAGGTTTGCGCTATAAATATAATAATTAAAAAGTGCAATTAACTATTACGGGCAAAGGGTAGATAGTAGATATAATTATATGTAATTGTACAAAGGAGAAAGGAAGAGAAGTGCAGCCGGGTACCCGGAAGACTAGCCTTATAAGGGCGGCCGCCAGCGGGTCTACGAACCCGCGGCAGGCAGCGCTCCGGCCAGTTAGTTGCCGGCAATGCGCCGGCAACAATAACAGCGACAGCAGTCTTAGAAGCTACTATACGCTGGCACCAAGCACAAGGCACATAGGCTAGCCCTGTGATAATACCTTTATCCTCCGCTAAGGGACTAGTAGGAACCCCATTTTAGGGTAATTAATAGTTTAATTAAAAATACTCTATTAGAATATAGGGAAGTTGTATAAGAGACGGAAGTTTCTATTCGAGTAAGAGGAGATTTATAATATTATAGTAATTTAAGAGCTAGGTAGAAATTTTAACAGGGATATTTACCGTCCTAAGGGCGGGAGGTATTTCGGGGTCGATTATTTAAAAAAAGGGAAGGGTAATAATATACATAAATAAGTAGTAGAATTTAAGGAACTCTAATTTTTAAGCCGGAAGGAATTAGTTTATAATAATATTTAAACATTTAAGGGATTTAACGATCGTTTATTCTATTTATTCCCCTATCCTAATATTAAGAATACTAGAATATTAGTAGGGGTTTTTACTCTTCGAATTCTTTAAAATTAGGCCCCTAATAGGCAATTAAATTATTACTATTAAGGACTTTAATTTTTATTATCTTAATTGGGATTTAGAGAATAGGATTAGTATAGGGGTTATATACTTCTTTATATAAATATAATGCTAGAAGTTTAATTTACTTCCCCATTGTAGTAAGTTAATAAAGTTTAGTAATATAATATAAGGAGAGAGAAATAAAATAATCGATTATATATAACTATTACTTAGGCTTAAGGTCGAATATTAGGGAGTATAGCGGTACGAATAAACCGGTTTGGACTATTACCCTTAAGAAATTTAAATCTAAATAAAAAGAAAGAATAGGAGGATAAACAAAGAAGGAGGCTATAGTTAGAATTTTATAAATATAGTAAAAGTAAAGGAGGTAGTAGAAAAACGGATTTCGGTCCCAGAAAGGATTAATATAATAGAAAATTTCGAATAAGGATTTCGTAGGTTCGATTGAGAATTTACTAGTATTACGGAAGAATTCGTCCTACATTAGAAGAAAGGTCGAGGGAGGAGAGTAAATTAGTGGATATTAGAATATAAGATAGTTATAAGAGAAGTATAGTAGAAGTATTAAATATAATTTAAATATTAGATATTATTAAAGAGAAAGCCTACGTGCACCCACCCCAAACCTTCCTATACCCAGTTTCCCTAAAAAAGTGGATCTGATAGCGAGATGACACCTGATATTGAAATCCTCGTTTTTACCTGTAAAATTTCGTCTTTCTAATACACACAACATCGACTCTAACTTGGTTATTTCTTTTACGCTTTTTTATATAGTTATTTACACTTATTTTATACCGTAAATTATTATATATTGTAATTACGCTATAATATAATATAATACCTTCAACGTACGTAATTTCGTTTAAATTAATTAATTTCAATTGTTTGTAATCCCCTTTAATTGTATTTAATAATAATCGATATATATATCTTCTACCGATGCTCCTCTATTTGTATAACTTTGCTGTTGCGATTTAATTACTTTGTTTGTTACCTTTGTAAGCGATGCTTTATTTAATTGCGATACTGAATGTGCTGTGCCGGCTAACGACCCAATCCTCGCCCTCCTTCCTTAAAACTCCTTTAATAATATATATTATACTATTATTAATATATACCGTTGCTACCGCTTTAGTATTTTGATAAAATATATTAATTATTTCCCTAAGATTTTCAAAGTATAGTAAGTAGGTATAAGGATTCCCTAGCGTATAGTATTCTATTGTAATTATATTTAGCTATCGAAATAAGCGCCTTCGAATCCTTATAAGAAACGATGTATAATAACTAAGAAGTTCGCGCCTAATTATTCCTTCCGTATTATCGTTTAATCTTTTAAAAGATATAATTATAATTATACTATATGAGCGAAGGACTATATATATAAAGGTTATCCTCTATTGCGCTACTTGGGCGGCTATTTAATATTTTGTACTAGGTTGTTAACCGACGAGGAGGTAGGCTATATTAATGGTCTTCTTATATAATAGGAGTTGATTATATATACTATTTATACGATGGTTAAAGCTAAACTTCTATACTATTACCTTATATATAAAGACCTAAATAATACTTAATAACGGTTATATAGGAAAGAAAGAGGGGGGTATTAAAATACTTAGGTATTTATTCGTTTATTTGAAACCTACGAGCTTATTGTAATTAAGTATATAGAGTTCGATTATTATAATGAGGGAGATAGCGATAGGGAGAATAATGAGGATGAAGAACCTAGTGTATTACGCTATAGCTTCTAATTTATAAGGAAGTAATAGAGATTATAGAAGCGATATTTATATGATTTATTATTTAATACTATAAATAAGATTAATTGGTATTATATACTAATTGTATAGGATATTATACTTACTTCTATAAAATCGTTAATATAAGTCTTTTAAGCCGTATTTAATAATAAGAGAGACGAAGGGTTTAGCTGGTTGATTGAGTATATTAAAAAGATTACCGACGAGTTTAATATCCCCGTACTAATTATAATTATTACCAACGGTAACGCCTAATTTATTAGAATTATTAATCGAATACTCCTAATTACTTAATATTAATAATATATATAATATATTAATTGTTATATTGTTAAATACTTTAAAGACGATTGGGAATATATAGTACAAAATAGTAATAATTTTGTTAGGTAATTCGAGGAGGAGTAAAATAGTAATAAAGATTCTTTTAAGTTTTTGATTAGTTCTACTAGTAATTAAGTAGCGGTATAATAATTATACTAAAAGGCTATAGATTAATATAATAAAGATAATATTGATCGAATCCGCCGTATGTATAAGAAGGTTAAGATAATTACTAGAATATAGGCTAATTTAAGTCCACTTCCTAAGAGGGTTATTAATATTAGGGTAGGGTTCTTTTATATATAGTAGTATATAATCTATACCCTATCGATATTGGAGTTTAAAGGTACTTTATTGTTCCTATATTATTAATTTAAGGAAGTATAGGAAATTATTATTAAAGAGATTATAACCGATTTACTCCTTTATAAAATAGAGTAGGCGGAGTACTATATCAAAAATTACTTTAATTGTACGTAAAGAATTATATTACCGAATAGATTTAATAATAGTTCGTTTAAATTATATAGTTTATCCGTTCGTAGCGGTTTAATAAATTTGCACTAGGTATATACTTAATATATTAACCGCCGTTATATCTATTTTGAAGAGATTATTGCCTCTTCGTTTTTACGAGTATGTATAGATTAGAATGGGCGTCCTTAGGTAGATAATACCCCCTTTAATATTATTACTTAGGTATATAAATTATTTAATTATTAATATTACTAGCTTTAAACTGATTAACCGAGTACGAAGCTTCCTAATATTAATTATAAACCTTATATAAGGTAGTTTAGATTCTAATATAGATTACCCTATACCTATAAAATAGAGGCTAAAAAGGAAGAAGGTAAGTTGGTCTTAGTTATTAAAGCCGATTATTACCCAATTTAGTATTTTACTCAACGATATATAAGTAACTATACTAACCCTCCCGGTCCTTCCCTATATTAATTACTATACTAGGATGTAATAGATAAGTATTTACAATTTCGTCTAGTTGCCTAGGGTATGCTAAAGGGTCGACCTCCTAAGTAGGGCGGTCTATTTAGCGACGAAGCTATTCTACCCGGTGGGTTACCCGCTTAAGTAGCCGCCCGAATAACCTAGGGTAGGAAGGTTAAATCTATAGCCCCCCGAGGTAAATTTAAACATACAGCTCCTATACGAGCTTTAGTACGTTATAATTATTTATAATACGAGTTAGGGGATAATATTGAAGAGATGGATAATTGTAATATTTAGAGTGAAGTTTGTAGTTGTATTATAGTTAATAATAATAAGGACGAGGATAAAGAGTTGGGTCGATATTAGGAAGAGAGGGAACGGGAGGTATAGCGGTGAGAGGAGGTTAGTAGGGAGGAGGCTATGGAGTTATTATTAACTACCTTATGTAATGAGCTTTCTAAATTGTTAAATGTTAGTATTTAGATAGTAGAATGTAATAAGTTTAATACTATACAGATATTACGAGATTTGAGTTATGGGGAGTTGGTCAGATTATGGTGATTCATATGGGGGGGGGGGGGTAATCCAGATGTTGTGACACATGTAAAACGGTCAGAAATACCGCTAAAACTCGATAATTTATATAATAGCTAATATTGGGTAAAACTGGGTATGGGAAGGTTTGGGGTGGGTGCACGTAGGCTTTTTCTTATTAAATTAGAGGGAGTTTGTTGAAACAATAATTCAAAGGAAGAGGATTATTTTGAAAGTATAGTAGGCTACGTAGTACGAAAGCGTTGCCGAAGCTTTAAAGAACCCGAATTAACTCTAACCTTTAGAGAAATAGGCCCGGACCTAAAGTTATTACTTAATAGATTTACCTAAATTATTAACCCTCCGAACTAGCGAAGGGGTAATAGAAATTAAAAATTACAATAGTAAGGCTGAAATTTTTACTAATCGTTTCTTCCTTAGAGTAAATATTCTAATAGAGTATTTACCGGACAGGATTAAATTAATAAATAGTATTAATTTAATAATTAATAGCGAATTAGTTATTAAAGGGGATGTTTAGGATATTTTCTCCTAAATAACGCTTAATAAAGTCCTGGGCGTCGATTAATATTTAAATAGATTTTTAGAATTGTATAGACAATTATTCCGGTAGGCCATAATATACTCAATAACCGCTAGCCTCCGGCTCGGGTATTTCCCGTAGTAGTTTAAGGATATAAAAGTAGTTGTCCTTAAGAAGCTTGGAAACAGCGCTATTTAGTAAAAATTAATAGGTATATAGAAACCTATATTGTTATTTAGTAATATTAGAAAGATCCTTAAAGCTTTTGTAGTTAAGAGATTTATATAGGTAATTAAAGAATTCAATTTTCTGCCGGAAGGCTAGATAGGTAATTAAGTAAGCTGTTTAACGGAATTTATAGTCCGGGTAATTAATAATACAGTTTATATAGTATAGAAACTCGGGATTGTAATATCCCTTATACTCCTCGATCTAAAGGGTGTATTTAATAGGGTTAATTATAGGTAGCTTTTATAAATTTAATAAAAAATATAATTCTTAACGTAGATTATTAAATAGGTAGCGAACTTCGTTATAGATAGGAGAGGCGCTCTCTTTTTTAATAATAAAATATTTTACCCCTATACTATTATAGTAAGCGTACTTTAAGGCTCCCCCCTCTTACTTGTCCTATTTATCCTCTTTATTACTTTATTATATTAGAAGTTAGTAATAATCCCGAATATATTTATAATCGGCTTTATAAATAATATTAATATTGTTATAGTAGCCTATACTACTAGAAAGAACTCTTAGACCTTATTAGTAGTATAAGAGATATATTTGGAATAGGTTAGGGCGTGAAGTATAGAGTTCGAAGCGAATAAAACGGAATTAATATATTTTACGCGGATAAGGGTACTAAGGATAGAAACTCTCTAATTTAGGGTTATAGTACTTTAACTAATAGAATTAATGAATTCCTAAGGGCTTAACTAGACTATAAATTTAACTACCGGGCTTATACGGAAGTAGTAAAATAAAAAATAAAATTTTAAATATGTGTACTAATAAAATTAATAATAAAAACCTAAGGTTATTCCTTTATTCGGGTAAGGGAAAAATATACTAAATATATTTATAGCGCTATGATATATAGAGCCTTAATATTCTAGTAACTAACTAAAGTTTATAGGAAATTACAAAGGATTGTAATTAGGCTAGTGAAATATTAGACTAAATGTTTGAAAATTATTATTAGAGCATATAAAATTATACTAATATAAAACCTAAAAATAGAAACCTTTTATTTACTATTTGACCTTTTTTTCAATAAAAAAGTTTAGGCCTTTAAAGAAAGATTTACCCGTACGGACTAAGTAAAATTCGTCCGGGGAACGGTAATTCAAGTAGTTAGTTATATTTAGATATAATAAATTAGAAATTAGCTACCCGTTGATAAATTAAAGAGTAGTACAATTAAATTTAGGTAGGTTAAGGCGTTGTAAGGGATCTACGAGGTATACACGCAGGTAGGCCTTGAAAAGAGCTTGAAATAACCGACAAAGAGGAGGAGGTTCTGTGCCAGTATGGCTGGCACAGAGCCGACAGTTAAATATACGAAAAGCGTAGGCATCGAAGGTGCCAGAAATGCCAAGGCCTGAAATGTGGCCCGTGCGGCGCCCCGAGGGATGTACCCAATGGTACGCAGTGCATCGGGCGCTAAGACGGCTGCCAATAGCCGACCGGCCCGTGCACCTAATTAGAGGGTACGCCTAGTTTATACAGTTAGCTAGGCATTACCTCTGGGCGCTAGCCCCGTGATATTACTTCCCACCTCTCCCTTCGAAAAATAGCTAGAAATGCTATATATAAGAAAGAATCCAAGCGCTCTAGTAACCTCTAGTACTCCCGAGCGCTCCTAAGAACTCCTAGCTACCCGGGTTTATATAAGAGAATAACAATTAAGTAAATAATCAACGATAGAGCTAGTAATTAAGTATATCTCCCTAAGAAAGTCCTATTTATTACTTTAATACCTATTATTTACGTATATATTGGCGCCGGCTCTGTACTACCCCCGAATTGCGTAGTAGCTACTACGCCGGGCACCCCGAGCCCCCCCGGCAATGCCCTATAATGTTCAGTTCTATCTATCCGTAAAAATTACCGTCCTACCGACTTTATTATAGGACCTATACGCTATTAGTCAGGAGGCTCCTTTAGACTACCGGCTACAGCGGTATTCAATATATATACTTTTAGTAAGACTCGCTATTACCAATACACAAGTAGGGTACGCACAGCCTTTCCGGGTAGCTCTAGCATCCTCTAATACTAATAGGACTAACGTTTTCTCAGTATTGACGGAGCTCTGGAGCCTACCCTTCGGGTCTTACTGGGCTAATATTTATACCTACTATTCGTTGCTATTATTAATTTCGTCGTTTTCCTCCGGGCCCCCAACCGGTTCGGACACTCGGATATACCGGACCTAGACCTTCTATTTACTCGGGTATATATTAGCCTAATAGGAAGGTAAGCCGCAAGCCGTACAAGCACCCTTCTTCTTCTACTTCTTCAGCTAAGTATCTATTGGAGTATTAGAGCTCCCCGACGTCCAAATAGTAGTAATATCTATCGGTTCCCCCTTATCAATATAAACAACAGTACTAGAGTACCCCGTACTACTCCCCCCAAGAAAAATATTACTATTAAGGCGTTTTAAAAAGGCGTATAACTCTAGGTAGGAATCTAGAGCTTCCGGCTATTTACAGAGGTGCCCGAACTATTCATCGTTTAAAGAAGACATCAACGAATTGATAATAGCTTAATCTAGCTACGTATTAGCTTTGGCTCTATAAAGGACCTCCTTAAAACGGATAAGAAAGTGGGAAATAAATTCTCGAGATTTCTATTGCAAAATAAAGAATTCGAGGCCGGCTTTCTTATCCTAGTTAACTTCGCCGTAATTGAGACGGAGCTTCTCGAATAACCTTTCTAGTATCCGGTTAGCTAGAAAAGACTAGGCAAAGGCGAATAAAGTCCGGCGGACGGCGGGCGAAAGGCTGGAGTATAGGTAGTAAAACTAGGCCTCTAAATCGCTAATAGCGCGGCTATCAACGTATAGCTTCGCTTCGGCTATATAGATCTATATATTAAACTCCTTCTTAGTGTGTGTTCGGCGCACGCGGAAATGGACTTGGAAATGGAAATCTGGAAATCTGGGGGATGTGGTCCGTGTAAGGTACTTGGGAGTAAATTGGGTTAATTCTTGACCAAAGTCACTCGATCGTTGTATCCTCTAACAATTTCTCACCGATTTCTCACGATTTATAGGCCTTCGTTGGTCCTGGAAATGGCTTGGCACCCAACCTACTCCACTAGGCTCAATGCGGGCTTTGTGGTTGGTCCAAACTGGGTCTTGGCAGGCCAAATTTCAGAAACTCATTTCATCAACTTTTTGTTTATGAAATGCCTTTCTGGAAATGCGCTTTGACCACTTTGACGACCTCTTGTACCTTCCACCTGCCAAGATATTTCCAGGTGCCATTTCCGCGTGCGCCGAACACACCCTTATTACCTATAAATTTATTAAAGTAGGGAAGGATTAGCTTGGGTTGGCCGGAGCCTTCGGCAGAATTAGAACTCCCGGCGGAGGCCTTTAAGGTAGCCAATTTATTAATAAGAATTTGAATAGCCGTAGCGAACTACTATTGGCGCTCGCTAGTATTTTGAACCTAAAGAATCGAAGCCATAGCGGAGAAGCGAAAAAAAAGTTAGTTAACAGCTAGAGAGTATTCTTCGGGCAGCTGGAGGGCCGGAGTAGTAAGAACGCTAAAGGGAACCGGTACGGCGAGTATACTGGAGACTGCTGGGGGAGTTGGAGTGTTGAAAAGAGGGTCGATTATAATATAAGGGATCTACGAAGTATACACGCAAGTAGGCCTTGAAAAGAGCTTGAAATAATCGACAAAGAGGAGGAGGTTCTATACCAGTATAGCTGGCACAGAGCCGACAGCTAAATACACGAAAAGCGTAGGCATCGAAGGTGCTAGAAATGCCAAGGCCAGAAATGTGGCCCGTGCGGCGCCCCGAGGGATGTACCTAATGGTACGCAGTGCATCGGGCGCTAAGACGGCTGCCGACAGCCGACCGGCCCGTGCACCCAATTAGAGGGCACGCTTGTCTTATATAGTCAGCCAGGTATTACCTCTGGGCGCCAGCCCCGTGACAATACCCATCTACGCTTATAGGCTAAAAAAAGAGACCTTCGCCTATATTATCTTGAATTACCTTAATATAGAAGGCTTCTTTTAATTAAATATTAAAAATTAGCTACTAACAAAAAAAAAACTCTAAAATTACTTAAATAATAGAATTGAAGCCGAAAGGATTCTATTATAAGCGTTAAAATTAAATAAATTAAAGGAATACCATTTAGCACTCGAATTAGAGGAGTAGTAGCGTAAGGAAATTGTAAAATACTCCTAAAAAGGGAATAAATTATTAACGATACTAGAATAAGAGAATAAGGGATAGGGAGGAAACGATTATACTAATTACAAATACTACTTAAATTATAGTTATAATAAAACCTAAAGTACCGTTTATTTAACGCCTAATTACACTTAAAAAACTCTTCGAAAAACTCTATTATACAAATTTAATTGGCAATAATATTATAATACTATTGAATCCAATTATTATTTAAAATACGGCGGCTAGGAGTATTAATAATTATAGGGCTACTAAGGGTAGTACTGTTATTATTAAAATTAAAGACCGTACAAGTAGGAGTAGTTGTACTACTATTATTAAAATTAGATATAATGCGCGCGGGAGTAATTATATTACTATTGGAATTAGAAGTAATATAAACCGGGTTTATTATATTACTAATACTTGGGCCGGAGGGAGTATAACTATAGAGGATATCCTTTACGTATAACGTATAATATCCCTTCTATTAGAAGGTGGCGGCGTTATAGTATAAAGTACGAAGAAGATTAGCAATATTATATGGGAGGTTATTTTATATTGAACGAATATATATA